TGCTCTGCTGAAACCCATAGAACCTAGGACTTTGATAAGTACTGACATTCTCATTCCATTTTTTGTTTATTGTTGTATTATTTGTCTCTTTTATGTAACATCTTTCGGTATATTTTTTTCTGCACCCTTTCTTTGATTAAAAATTATCATTTAAAATTGTTAAGCCTATTTCTACACTCTAAATAACAACTTAAAGTATCCTTGTCTCAGTGAAGAGTGCTACCGTATTGTTAAACCTGTCATATTCCTGTATGACGGTACAGTGGGTATCGCAGGCATTGTTTAAGTTTTTGAATTGTCACAGCATGTCCTTGGAAGGGTGCTGGTTTCTATAAAAGCCAAAGGTATATCCCACCGCACTCCTGACCGGAAACAAACCCAAAACTCGGATGGGTGCCGATGTGACCGCAGACGCCTCCGCCAATAGTACAAAATCGGTAAATGGTCGCACTCCAACTTGATTCAAAGTCAATACCTTTTATTGACTGGGATAGTGTCACATTTATAGCGACGCTTCGGAAACAAGTGACTTTATGTGTGCCCAGAGGAGGAGCCACTTGGTTTCCGAAGCGTCGCTATAAATGTGACACTATCCCAGTCAATAAAAGGTATTGACTTTGCATCTAGTTTGAGTGCGAGTGACCATTTACCAATCTTGTTTCTATGAAGACACATCGTGACAGCTATTATTTTGTGTAAAGTTTTAACTGTGGAGTTATCCAACACCTGTGTCAATCGTTCTCAGTCTGCTAATCTTAGATTGTTATCCCACTAGCTGGAAAATCTCTGTGCAGGGTGAGGCTGAGAGTGGTATCATCTTGTCTTGGTGACGGCTTGGTAGGATCAGAACCGCGTATCGTCACCTAATGGTGAGAGTATCGTGGAATCGCACCTGCTGTTCCATCACAACCAGAACTGAAGGAGAGGGGAGATCTTCCAGTGGGGACACCTGTTTTGGTAACAACTGTCTAAGAGGAGAATTTCCCTCCCTTTGTAGAGATCTCCTCTAACTTCTTGTTACTTCTCTGGGGCAGGAAGTGAAGGGAAATTTGACAGGTTTTAACTTCCCTGCTCTTTTACTCTATATTTTTGGCTATACCAACAGTTTAATTACAGCATCCTTGTCATTGTCACTGGGAATGGTGTGAGCAGAAATCTCCTTAGTCGAGACACAGACGATAATTAAAATCTTTTGAAATTATATATATCAGGGCTTCCCAACTAGACACAAACTAGGGACACTTTTGCGGCCCACAGACTGTTACAGACCCGCTGACTAGATGACAAGCCTGCACCGCTTCTCCCCTGGCTGCTTGTGGATCTGTGAGTTGGGGAACATGGGGCTCTATCAGCCTCTTCATACAGAGCAGCCCCACTGCAGTGGTTTTCTGCTCAGGGACACCAACTGAAACCTTTTTGAATTTGTATTTTTCTAACCTTTCACACTTTATCCAAAACATAATATTTTAACTGAAGGGCCACTTCAAAGAGCAAAAAACCATGAAACAGTGGGCAATTAACCCTTGCAGTGCATGAGTAGCAAGGGGAGATGTTTTTTGTTAACCTGTACATAGGCTTTAAAACAGTTGAGAGATGATTGCTGCTTGTTTACGGATGATTGCTGCTTGTTTGCTGTACATTTCAACAGTTTGCACTTTGCTGCTAACATTGAATAAGCCCATGAGTGTGTTTACATTGAGTCATTTTACATTGCAAAAGGTCACACATTGATCACACACGGAGGGCATGGAAAGCGATAGATCCATGGCATCCATCAGCCGTGTTCGATATTAAACATGTTTATTGTTGTTCACATGAGAAACAATTCATTGTAAACCTGCGAAAATCAATGCAAGCTTTTTTGCAGGAATTTGAGAACCTGATTAATATATTTGGCATATCCACTGCTATCTCCGTACCGTACATAAGACC